ACCTTATCAAAACAGCAAACTTTGTGGTCAACCGACTACGCTTGGCCTCTGTTGACTACAGGGCTGCCTACTTTTGAATTTTCATTAGAGTGAGATTGTAGCGACCCGCCTGGGGCCGGAACGCCGGTGTGTGGAGGTGGGGAAAGGTTATAAGCTTCAATCAAATGCAGCATAAAAACGATGGCTGTGACTATGGATCGCTATTTGAGTTTTAGGGTACTATTACTATTACGTACGTCGCCCACATTTTCTTTTCGCATCGGGGTCATAGACTGACAGTTTATAATACTGGCTAATGATTTAATGTAAACGAAACTTCACCAGATTCTCGACTGTCTGGCAAAACACGGTAAAAAAACGGCCTCACAAAATAAATAACACGTTTATGCCATAATGTAGCAAAACAAATAAATAGTAGCTGTTTCAGTTACTGCAAGAGACAATGTCTATGCCTATAAATAAGAAGCCATCTAGAGCCTCGTTCATACGTTGGTTTGTTTATGCGACTTGTGAGTACGGACACAGGCGGATAGTTGAAAAGTGTGTGAATTCATCGATTGATCTATGTATTCTAAACAGGTCCCCCACTAAATAGTGCCCCCCTGTTTAACACAATATGAGGGAGCATCCAGTTTGGTCTCGTTCGATTATTAAAGACACTTAATTCCAAGACCTAACTATGGAGTTAATTTTGTGCCAAAAGTTTCAAATAAAATAATAAAATCCACAAGCAAAATATTAAGTATCAAAATATTTGGCAAATACAAATAATGAGAGTTAAATCAAACTTAATTTTTCAAAAAGATTATTACTCATTTTCTCTCATTCTGATATTAATGTGTTACTCATTTTGCCACTTTTTACTTTTTGCCGATTTGCTGCTATATTGTTTGCTTCTTGAATCGCTCTTTATGTTTCTTTTGCTTCTGATTTTTGGCACTTTTTAACAGGGGGCGTGTCGTGGAAGAGGGCGTTTTCCTGCACTCTCTATTGGTCAGCTGATTTGGAGTGACAGGTGTCCTGAACACGTGGCCACTCGGCGTGGACCGCCCACAACATGGCACGTCGTCTCCTAGCAACCAGCAAATACTAAATGAGGGTTCAAGCCAAAGCGTGTTAGCTAGAAAGGTAAGGTATATTGCAAAATAGGACCACTTAGATCCATAAAGGTAAGAAAAAAACTCCCCAATGTCCCCTACGAGTTTAAACAGGTTAGACTTACTAATATCAAAAATAAATAAATAAGTAAATAAATAAATAATTGAAATGTGTTGTTAATAAGTATAGTCCATAGGGCGTAAGGTGGAGAATTGTAGCACCACCACAAAATGGCAATAGTTCACTGTTACTCTAATAGCCTTCCCAGAGGCTGTTAGCAGATGGGTACAAACTCCCTGTTAATACCCTTGATTTTAAAAGAAATGTTGGATGAGCAGGTGTCTACAAACTTTTGGACATATTTTCTATATGCAACCAAATGCCTAGAAACAAACTTTAACTTAAGCCTACCTACTTGATCGTTTAAGAGCAGGTTTTTTGTGTGCTGCACGGTCCTCTCGAACCTCCACTCTTCCATATGAGAGCACATTCAGTATTGTTTTCAGGCTGCTGCCATCGCTTGTTAGCCAGTATCAGGAATATGTTAGCCTGTCTGTGCTGTACGACTTGTTTCTGCAGAGGATTTTGTTTATGTATGCAGGTTAGACCTAACTGAGGGTCACCGGCCTTCTACTGCTCGCTATACAAGCCAAAAGAAGTCTAGGCTCATAATAGGATGCCTGCTGTGTGACGGATATGTGGCTAAATGAGGAGCAATCTCCTTACTTCAAGGATTAAGTTCTGTGGCCCACGCTTGAAAGTCAACCACAAGCAACAGAAAATAGTAAGACTAATTCAGTGGCAAACATGCTACTAATCATGTTATGATTGATTGATTGATTGATTTATTGATTAACCAATTGAATGATTGGTTGATTTATTAGCAGATTAATTAATTGACTGGTTGATTGACTGATTGATTGATTTATTGATTGTCAGCACCCCCCCCTCTAAAAAAACATCTTTACATGTAGACACAGCAAAGCCATAGCACAGCAGTGCTCAAACTTGAGTGTAAACCATATTTTGTGTTTTCTCTTGTGTTTTTCTTGCCTTATGTGTGTGATAAGGATCCCAGGAGGTGTTTTTCATTGATTCTTAAAAAGGCTGTTTTTGTTACTGTACCTTTAAGACAGATATATGTAAATGAGTGCTGTTCTGAAACACTCCTTATAACTTCAGCATGAATGGGTAAAGCTAAACTGCTGCAGGCTGAATAGGTGGGTATGTAAATTGTTTTCCATGACAGTGAGTTCAAAATCAGCTTCCATATGTGGACTGTATGGGCTGGGTAGTGAACGGTACATTTTGAAATTTTAACAATGTTTACATACTAAGTCTTGTTTTTGAAAAATTAAGGGAAATTCATTTTTCTTCTGATATATGGGCCCTTCCACTATCTAAGAATTTAACTAAGAATCACATCACTTTTTACATTTCTGCATTTAGATGTAAACAAAGTCATTCAGAGTGGTTTGCGGCAAAATGTGCATTGCACACTGGTGGTGATAGGAACCAGGGGTCTCAAAGTCTAATACACATAAAACTATTTTCTTTACTATTCAAGATGACCAGTAAAGCGAAATATGTTTTCTGAGTTTTTGTGTAGTGTTAGTAATGCTAAACCAGTGATAAATCTGCAAAATCCGTTTTTCTTTGCTCACTTGTTTACCTCACGACACCCTACGTGTACGTCTCCACCATGAAAACCATCTGAAAACAATGTCTCATGCATCAGGCCTCCTATTCATAATGATGTCATGTAATAACTTTCTGTGAGGGAGCTTTTATATGCATTAAACTCTCAAGTCATCTGATTCTAATCACCACCAAGTTTCTCTAGAATGGTGTGTTTCTTTGTTTACATCATTCAATTTTTAAAAATCAGTGAAAATCCCCATTTAACTCAGTCTTGCCTTTAATTACTGAGATTATTATCCAAATCTTGTTTCTTGAAAATACATTTGCAGAGGAAAAGAGTAATTTAACAGTTTTGACAAATGATGCATTCATGAACATTTGCAATGATTTTTGAAGTGATTTATTAGATCCAGCATGAAGGGATATGAAGGGCAATCCAAGCTTTCAATCTATGTGAAACAGTTTCTTAGGACAGATACTGTATGATAGCATAAGCAATACTAATGTTCTCCAGAGCTGTAATCAGTCCAGGTCTACCTTAAAAAAGCAAAGATGAAAAGAGCCACTCTGGCTAAAAATGAATGAAAAGTTTTTGATAACTCCAAAAATAATTGCACAAACAGCAGCATGCAAGCCGGCTAGCTCTTTGCAGTGTATTATAAATGCATTTTGCAGGAAATCTTTTCTTCTTGCACATCAGCATGATAAATCCCATCATCATTAGAAAACCACTGGAAGACAGTGCTGTGGTCATTGGAAGAGCACATTGTTGTTATTCCTTAGTAACAAAAGGCACTGTATATTCATTTTTATTTGTTTTTTGTTGAGTTTGTTGCCCCAGAAATCGAAGGCAAACTGACAAAAGTGCTGCACTGAATTTACTTGATTCAAATGTGTATATTCAATTTTTACATGAATATAATATATCATATCAACACATTTATTGCCAAAAGTAAGTAAACTGAAAGATAACATTCATGTGGAAATGACATAGGGGAGTACAGACTGACACTTATGGTGTTAGTATAGTATTAACTATTAGTAATAACAGTATTTGAGAGAAATAAATACTTTTTTATACATATAACCTGCACAACTCTGTTACAAATTAACTTTTAACTTTGTTTCCAACAACTAATGTCTACAAACAATTCAGGCAAAAGCAGTGTGAGTGCCAAGACTGGGTTGATTGTATTAGACGAAGTGGTAGGAAGTCTGTAAATTGATATAAAACGTAATTAATTCAATGCTATTCTAAGTTATTTGGATGGATGTGTATATGGATGGACTTCTCTACTTGTTTATTTTGGGCAGCTTAGTTGAAATACTGTGTTAAAACTAACCCCGCCTTGTGGTGGCTGTGCTTAAGCCTGGCTAATTCTTACTCTAAGTTGTTTACAAGTTTCAGAATGGTGCTACAGTCACCAAGAAGGCAAATACAATAATAGTGGTGTGACTTCTGTGACTGACACTAATAAATTAGTAAGTGAAAAACATTTTCAATGAAAAAAGTTACTTTTTTGGTACAAAAACAAACGTCAGGGTGAATCTCGAGAAATATCTGTCCGGTCACTGTCAAAATTCACAGATGATGTTGCCATGGGAATATGAGAAGCTGACTAAAAGCATGTTCTCCTGGAATGTGGGTAACTACATATAATATCCATGTTTCATCGTACCCTGTGTTAGTTTTTGCCATACTCTTCCATACACATTTGAATCAAGTAAATTCCATGCAGCACAGAGGCACCAGCTACCACAACATCCATCAGCAGCCATAATGACCGTCTGATTGATGTTGTGCCAACATGTCTCAACATTTCCAGCCTTGTTAAAATAATACTAGATTTCACATGCATTCTGTCCTTTATGTAAGTACAATCACCTTCTGTTTACTAAGAGGTAAAGGCAGTTGAAGTTGTCTGCACAAATGTGTGTTGGGTACACACCAATCATTTCACTTGTACACCTTTCTTTATGGTTTGTCTGAACCATCTAGCCAGCGTTTTTGTATGGCACTAGGTGGCTTTTAGACTGAGATCACTTTTTCCCCCATTTACTGAACCTCTCTGAAAGACCAACGAGTGCACACTCTTACAAATTGCACGGTAGATTGCATCTTTACCTCTTAATGCACAGCACAATTTAAGCACCCCAAGTTTAAGGTTGCGAAGCAGAACTTTATCTGCCATCCCGAGGCTGCCGTGGTTCCATGAAAGGGTCTCAAGTTGCCCAGAGTTTTGGTTCGGTTCTGTCTGGAGCTAGCTGGCCAAAGGGTTTTGTCGAGTGGGTACGTTCTCTTGTGCTTGCTGGCTGGTGCTCGGTACATCAATGTTGGGGTCATCATCTACCTGGTAGCACTTGCCCAGGCTCTTGATGATGTTGAAGTTGTAACGGGCTGTTTCAGCAATGCTGTTCTCCAGAAGCCAGCCATCAGACTCAGAATCAGGATCTCCTAATCTTAGCACATTCTCCATGGAGGTCTGTAGGTACCTCACCCCCGTCAGTACAGAGAGCTGCAGATTAAGGATAGAACAGAATGAAGAATAAACAGAAAAGCAGGAGAATACAATTTGGTCTAAACATCCATTCATAAAATAAAGCAGTAAAAACAAAAGTAATATTCCATGCAGATTGTTTGATTATTGAACACATAGTTACCGAAGATTTGAGAATATGGTGCAATTATGCATTTATGTATCAGTTATTTAAGAAATAGTATCAATGTACATGCTTTTAAGAGTCCCTTTTCTTTAATTGTTGTTTAAAGCTGCGCTGTGTAAGTTTTGGGGATTTGGAGACCTCTCTGGTGTAACTGTGTAATTGCACACAATGTGTAGGAGAAAATTTGTAACAATGGTTGGGCTTCAAATCCCTTCCCAGAGTGGATGGATTTGATGATTGTGAATGTGTTTGAAGAGCATTTTAAGAGAACTCAGTCAAAACTTGGTGGACAACATGTCTTCTAAAGATGTAAATGAATTATCCACTGTTGTCGTCATATCTTCATCAGTATAATGTTGATTTTTCATTTGAGAGCTTAACATTGAGCCGGTCCTTCTTTTCAAGCCTGTGCATGTGACGTTAATACGTTATACTTTAAGACATACTACGTAGTCTTAAACACCTCTGACCTCTGCCTTTACAAGGTGAGTGGCAGCAGTGCATGTACATCATATTTTAGCATGTTTTTAGACTTAGTAGTGTTACTTCTTTAAATTTTGACCAAAAAAGGAATGTAAATCTGGATGGTCAGCAGTTCCATTAGTGTTAACAGTTTGAGTAAGAATGATCATTCAAAGACTTTTCATGTGCTCAAATGATTCATGGTTATTGAATGTTAAATAATTGATATGACACAGACCTCAAAGAGCCAGATGACGAGCACGATTAGGCCGATAGATTGCATGATCTGGGTGTAATACTCCAGCAGAGCTTGTCTGCAGCCCTTCTGGTTCAGGTTCAGCTCCTCTGTCTGATAGTCGTAATTGTAGTGAGCCGAGTTGTTGGTGATTTGGTGCTGGATGCAAGGCCTCGGAGAGTACAGGTTGCAACAGCTGAAGGGCACTCCATCCATAAGGTACTTCCCCTCCACATTGCTTCGCAGGCGACTGAGGACAGCAATAAAAATAAAATGGGTGATTGTTTGGTTAGATGGTTAGATGGAATAGAACAGTGATCTCCAGACCTGGTCCTATAGCACCCTGTCCTGCACATAGTGTTTCCTAGGGATGCATAATAATATCAGAATCATTTCGGACAGTTATTTAGATTCAATCGATATTTTAAATTGATTTTTGCTGATATATTTATTGAACTCCAGAAGAGCAGAATGTTCAGGTGATACTGGGTTTCTATGCAAAAATGTCTCCATTTGATTAGTTTCGCTGCATTTGTAACACTATAGTATAAATTTTCTCCGTGCTATTCTGGGTTTAATCCCAGTTTCTACACTTTATAAATCTTTATGTACCATTGGTATCAGCATCAGCATGGACATACATGGACACATATGTACAAATATTAGATATCCGATAAGCCTGAAATTCCCATATTGGTGTCTCAGGTTTGTTTTCCTGCTCAAAAAAACCTGATTTAAAGGTCCGTATTGTGGACTGAATTTTCCTCACTTTTTCAACATCAAACAGAATAATGTTTCATGTAAACCTTTCTTTAAATTTTAAAATGGACCATGCACTCCAAAGTCCATACAGTCCATGAAAACTAAGCTGCAAAACAGCCAGTTTTGAGTTTGTGCCATCACAAAATATATCACATTTACATATATCTACCTGTTCAGTCCACACCACTTTAGCCCTGCTCATTTACAATGAAATTATCAGCAATGTTTAAAAGAGATGGCAGCCAATTAGACCAGAGATGATTTACATATATCAGCCTTTCTGTGTAATTCTAAGAGATAAAGAGAGGCTGCAAAATGATCATGCAAAAATGAATTTTAAAAACAAGAAAAAGGCAGAATATGGGCCCTTTTCTCAGGACGGGTGTATTACTTTGTCAATTACTTTGATCAGGTGTGCTAGAAGAGGGGAAAACATATAAGTGTGGAAGGCAGGGGGCACTCCAGGACCATCTTATTCATCCTTCGATGTAAGTTACACTGAGATACTCCTAAGAAGTTAAAGTTGGGGAGCTCAGCCTTGGCTTCGAAGATCCACCTCCGTGATGGTCGTCTACACTCCATAGGGAGTTAGGAGCAGGGTTGAGCACTCTGGGTTAAAGTGCTTCTGCATGTTCAGAATGAGCTCTTCTGTTAGATTTGAGGTATTATCTGCACTGGAAGTGGCAGATAATACCTCACTACATTAGAATGTGGAATTCAGGACCTGCTCTGTATCAAACATCCTTTAAAGACACTCTTGCTCTAAGAAGTTTCATATATATAATGCTGTGCAAAACTCAGAGACCACCCTTTTGTTTACTTAATTTCCAGTCAAAAAGGCCAGTCAAAAATTTTTCAGTGACAGGACAAAGAGCATAAATCATGTATTTAACAGAAAATACACAAAAGCCATAACAACTAATGACAGTATATTTTTTCAGTATTTAGACTGTCCACGCTTTGTCATCAGGGATATTTTACCATGCCTCCAAAGTTGTCAGCATTATTGGCTACTCGTGATCTGAGTAATAACAAATTTAGACTCATCAGTCCATAAAACCTTACTAAACACCTCAGGTGTCCCGTTTTGGTGTTCTAGCGCAAATGTTCTTCTTTTCATCTAATTCATTTTCTTAGTTATAGCTTCTTTACAACTACACATCCTTTCAGACTCATAATTTTCTCCTCATGGTGGAAGGACGTGGATTTATTATTATTTATTTATTTTTTCAGATCTGAAGTAAAAGTGGGGCTTGATTTTCTCCTCTCTCTCAAAGATAAAAGCTTTAAGTGCCGTTCATCTGATGGTGACAGTTTTGGTGGTCTTGCAGGGTTGTTAGGAGTCCCATTTTCTTTCAGCTTTCATCTTTTAATGTTTTAGCAACTCATATTTTTTCAGCATAATTCATAATTGACTTTTCCGTTCCTTATGCAACTAGATTTTTTTATACCCAATGTCCTCAGAAATATCTCCTGAAAAATGAATAAAATAATGGCCATTTTGACTTTGGGCTTTAAAGGGTCTCAGCTCTACTTACTCTACCACCTCGTTGCTGGACACATCCAGGTAGCGTTGACTGATCCACTGGATTTGGAACCAGTCTCTGTAGCCATCATTGCCACAGCACTGGAACTGGATTTGCAGCAGGTCGACAGTGCGCTTGATGTAGCAGCGGCCTGGCGTGTCTGTGTCCTTGTAGTAGCGCATGGCGTCCCGCAGGCCCAGGAAAAGCGACTCCTCTAGATTGTTGCGCATAGTATAGCACATCAAAGCCCCCACCAGGATGCAGAAGGTGAAGAAAAAAGTACATATGATGTAGGGCAGCAGTAGCAGCTTCCAGCGCAGAAACTTTACCATGTCCACGCATTCGTAGCAGATTTTACCTCCTAGGAAGTTGATGCCACAGGCAACCAGGCCCACGGCAATTAGCATGTTGGGCACTGAGTGGATCTCATCAGACATGAGTTCACGTCTCTTTTGGATCTCCACTTTCAAGAAGAGGCCCAGACTGAAGAGGATGATGCCCGTAATCACGGAAACCCAGTTCAGCACCCACAGCACTTGGGCCAGCTTGTCCCGATTGGTCTTAGTGAATGTCACCTTTAAGACCGCCATTTTGGGCTGGTAAGATGATTATTGATGCCAGATATGATGATAAAACCTTGTCAGCACAGGGGATCTAGGGGAAAAGGGTGGGAATGTGGTCAGCAGGGTGAAGGGAAGGGAGTAGGGAGGCAAGAGAGGCTATTTTCTAGAGGGCCTCATAAGCAGCTTAGTTGAGATATTTTTATACGGGGTGAAGGCCTCAGCTGCATGAGACGGCAGGTACTAAAACCAAAGTGGAGGAAGACACGAGTAAAAGCACTGAGAAAATGTTATTTAAATTGTTACCTAGACTTCCATCAGTCAACTTAATAAATAACTATTAAAAAGCCTAGATCTATACATCATTAGACCTGAGAATGAAGTCAACAGTTGGCTTATATATATATATGTATATATATACAGGCCTAGTTAACAATAGAAATGTTACTAAATGGTACACTGACCGATTTCACACTTAGCACAAACATTTCAATATTAATCTGAGCTATGTTCTGAACTTTAAGAGTGCTGTTTAAACTATTTCAATGAACATCTGCACTTCCTCTACTGAATATAGTTAAAGAAATCAAGCTTTAAAACTCACAGTTCTGCTTTTTTTGGCATTACATCATACCTAAAAGTTTTGTTACCACTGCAGATCCGAGAGAAACGAGGTGAAGCAGAAGATGACCCAATAGGAATTAACACAGGTTGAGTGCATAATCTCTCATTCATAAGAAAGGCACACTTACCTTTACTTCGCCAAGGTTAACATTGCTCTTTGGTGGCCTTAAGTCCACAAATTTGACTTTTGGATTCTTTCATATCTGTTTTTTTTAACGGTCATTCTCAGTAAAGGTCAGTTGAGAGCAGATACGTACAAGGAGCAGTGACTTCCCTCCAAGCTTCACTCTGACCCCCAGGGTAATCCACTTATCCATAGGATTTATTGGAGCACCCTCTGGGCTGCCTAGACCAATCCCAGCCCAGCAAAAAGTCTTTTACTCTACCCTACATCCTCACATGCACCAATTATCCTTTGGAGATACCTCAGTAGTCAGGCTTTGATAATTATTCCTAAAGAAAACTGACACTGACTTTAAATGTAGAGAAACTTATCCACTCGAATTTTCTTCACAGTGGTGGTGAAAATAACCAGAGGTTGCAATGTCCACAGTTCAAATATGAACATTTTATTTGCTATCCAAAACCACCAGTGAAACTTCATGTTTTTTAGTAAATCCTAAAATATTAATTTTATGGGGTACTTTTATATATTATAACACCGTGCATGTACCTCTTCATCTTAAATGTGTTTTAGGCCAAAACCTTATCTCAAAACTATCATAAAACAATGTCTCAAACATCAGTCTGTGGGGCTTAAAGACATCTGGTTCCTGTCTGCACCACTGTGAACAATTCTGACTGCAAGTTTCTCAAGAAAGATGTTTGAAATTGTTTAAACCTATATTGGTAGTAATTGCTATAATATTAGCATAAATGCAAACAAACAGAAATACAACAAAATGTTATAAGCAGGTTTTGTTTTTTAAAGTTATTAATATCTTGGTTATTGGAATACAGTTAGAAGAACACAGGTTTTGATCCTGACTTCTCGCTGCTCTCCAGCCATCACATATATTTATTCAGTTCCATCAGCAGCACCTGAATGAACGTAATGAAGGAATGATTAGGTAAACTAGGTTTTATGTATATATTAGTTACTAATATACATTAGTTACTGTCTTACTTTCTTTTGCACATCTATTATAGTCTGTGTACTTATCTGCTCTGCTTAGTCTGTTACATGTCTGAAGAATTCTTTGCATATGTAACATACTTGGTCAAAATAAAATCATTCAATTTCTGATTCTCATTTCATTTTCTCACAGGAAGTATAGATTACTCAGGCATGGCCACTAGGAGGCCCTTGACCAGCAATAGATTTAGAGTAGATAGACCGGTTGACCAAAGCAAAATATGATTAATTTAAAGGTAGTTCAATGCTGGATACATCATTTAGGGATCACAGCTTTTTGTTACACATTCTCATCATTTAGGAGGCTGAAAGTAATTGGACAGTTTGCTGCTAAATTTTGTCTTGGCCATCTGTATGTCTTTGTATTGGAGCAGGGCTGGGAAGTGTTAGTTTATAGTGTTAAAAGCACTCATTTTCAGTGTTTTGTTGTATTCCTGCTCTTTCATGCCAATTCTGTTCATTAAGGATCGGATCACTGTCAGGTGGACTATAGGCTGGAGCAGGGGATGTGTACATGCCACCACTTACATGTATCTGCACAGTCTGTCTGGTCTCCACCACTGGTGTCCTTGTCTTTATCGCCACCATGTGGCACAGAGGAGACATTGTTTAAACTGACTGACAAAAGGTAAAAGGCACAAAAAGCTACACCAAATGCTGACTGACTTAAATGTACACTCTTAAAATGATGGTTCAAGGGTTTTTAGTAAAGAAAATGGTTCTATATAGAACCATAAACACTCAAAGAACTGTTTGCTTAATTAAAGGTTCTTTGCATTGTGAAAATGGTCTTCAGATTGATGGAGAATGTGCTGTAGATCGTTCTATATAGAACCTTCTTGAAAAGGGTTTTCATTTGTGACCTGTAAGAGAACTGCAGTCTTTTAACTTACACAAATATATATAATTTGTATATAATTTGTAGTATTTATAAAATAAAAGCAATAACAGCAATAATAACAACAACACATCTATGTGATTTGTGCAGCCTGCACAGTTATTTTCAACTAGTTCAGTCATATTCAGTTTAAAATTGCATTTTTCCCATTCAGTTTTCTGTGATATAAGTATTTTGAATAAATATTTTATAGCAAAAATATTATTTAAGTAGGAATAAAAATTCTGGAAAAAACAATGTGCAGCCATTTATTATATACATTTTTCTTGATTGTATTTGTCTAATATACTGATATCTAGAAGGTAATACATAGCGTATGGTGGTACACTGCACTAACATGGAATAAATGGATAAATAATATTTCTAAAATCTATAAAAAAAGTTATGAAAACTCATGTAATAGTTTACAGACACCTACCAACAAGCCTCAACTGTCCAATGAAATGGAGAAAAAAACTATTGGAGATTTATTTTTACTTATTTATTTTAAAGTTATATACACAATTAAATCCAGTTCACGTCTCAATTTCAATCCAAATATTTACACACCAGCAGCCGACAACCTGTGCACTGCCAAACAAGATACAAAGTACAGAGATACAAATACAGAGGTCACTTCAGAGGTCAGACGTGCCTTAAGACACTGTAGTAATGATTTTCTAAGGTCGGCAATGCAGGTGTTACTATTGGGTTATTTCGTGAGGCGTGACTGCAGTCTATTTCCCATCAGTCCTACAGAGAGAGAGAGAGAGAGAGAGAGAGAGAGAGAGAGAGAGAGAGAGGCATTTCATTATATTTTCAATTTACTAAACTTCAATATAAATTACTGTTCAAACATTTGGAATCACTTGCTATGTAAACAGTTTTTATTATTTTTCCATTATAATTAATTAGTTAATGTAAATATTACAAACTATTCACCAAAAGGTATTTCTCAATGTTTTATTCAATATTTTAGGAATTCTGTGAATAAGAAATGAATAGAGAGAGAGAGAGAGAGAGAGAGAGAGAGAGAGAGAGAGAAAGGAGGTATTGTGGGACAAAGAGATGCATTGAATTTGTTTGTCCATCATTTCCACATGAAAATAAAATGTTGCCTCAACACAAACACAGGCGTGTCTGTTTACTGGCTTATGGCAATAACTGCTGATCTAATGTCTGTATTCATTTGAAAATGATGGACACATTTGAACCAGTACATTCATCACCTTTTTAGCTCGTGACATCATATGGACTCATACAGTGTATAATGTATGGACTCTGTGATTGTATATGTGGGCGTGTTGTTCATGTACTGTGCGTCTACGAACTGCGCTCTACCTCGTCCACTGTACTTTGCCCCAGCCCGCGCGCCACACCGACGCGCGTAACGTCGGGCTGCCCCACAGGTAGAGCGCGGGCGTGCTGAGCGCGTTCACGCGCGCCATGATGGCGAAGGCGTTGGTGGCTTCGTTCCTGAACACCAGGCCATACCTGCTGACCTGCTTCATAATGATGTTGACGAAGGACGGCGTCCACAGGATCAGGAAGGTGATGACCACCACGATGATGATGCGCAACGACTCCTTCTTTTCCTCTTTATCGGGCCCTGGCGGCTCGCGCTTCAGCTGGGAATTAGCGACCACGTACAGTTTGACAGTCATGACCACTTTGGTCAGCACTATGGCCTGCAAGCTCGCTATGCTGAAGGCGTATATTTGGGCAGCCGTGGCCACTGGCACCACACTGGACGCGAGCAGCTGCGCGTAAATGTGGAACCAGCAGTAGACGCACACCCCAATGACCACTGATCTGGAAATGTAACGGTCATAGAAGAAGGGATGGCACACGGCGCAGTAACGGTCAAACTGGGCAAACATGAACGTGAGGATGTTCACCCCCAGCAGCGAGGGCAGTACGTGGAAGGTCCCGTTTCTGGACGGGTAGCCCTCCTGGACATCGAAAAGGCCCAGATAATAGACGGAGAGGCCCGTCAGAGTGTCGCTGATGCTCGTGTTCACCATGAAAACGAACCTGTTCTGCGCGCGCAGGGCTCTCGTTCTTAGGATGCCCGCGAGCACGGAGCCGGCGAGAACGGACGCGCACGTGGCGAAGGCGAGGTGAAAAGCGTAGATGACGTAATCTTCAGAGTGAGAGAAGTCCACCGAAAGGGGAATGAAGCTCGCGCTTGAGTTGCCTGCGCTCATGCTTGAGAGGGGCTGCGCGCGCTCGCTGCGTTTTTATAGAGGGGCTGAAAGGGCCAGAAAGGCTCGAGGGGACGCCTCTGCGGAGCTCTCTGAGGACTCCTCTGTTTTGTCGAAGTCAGAGGGGCTCATTAACGGGAAGATGTTTGTTGTGAAGAATCACTGAAAAAAGTGATGCATTTAGTTGATTCAAATGATTCATAATTTCCACACAAACACAGTAGATGACATCAGAGCAGTTACTGCCACAAACAAGCAAACTCACAGACAACAGGGGGTTATTTTACTGATGTGGAAATGATGGTGAATGATTTGAATGAAATTAATGAATGTGGTGATATCAGGGTCCTTATGTATGCACTGTTAGAAATAAAGGTTCTGTGCAGGTACATTTTTCGTTCATTAAGGTACAAACAATGTAAATGTACCCTCATGGTTTTAAGGTTCATTTGTGTTCAGTACATATTTGTAACTTTTTGTAACCTAATGTTTTAAAACAGAACAATACAATAAAAAGCCTGGAGACGAGACGGGGTGTGTGGAGTCAATACAACTTAGACAATATCATTTCAATGGATTAAGGTACAATTATGTTCCTTGACTAAAGGGTACTGAGATGTATCCTTGAGGGTACTACACCGGTGATAAGAGGGGTACTGCCCCAGTGACAGGTTAGTCAATTTTTTCCTGAGAGTGTACAATGAACCATTTCAAATCAAACCAACCTAAATGACTTCATTTACACCTTAATCATTGTATTATGCAGATGTTTAAAAAATTGGTGGAATTTCACTTTGAAGTACAAAGCTAAAATAATAGCCTGGTGAAACACTTGTGTTTGAATTGCTGTATATTCTTTAAAGACAATAAAGAGAATTTTGCATTCACTGAGGACACAAATCTAACAAGTCTCCCCCTCCAAAATCTGCACAGAGATATGTAGAAGGACAAACAGAATACTCTGTACATTTTGCTCATGTTTTCTACAAGTGAATTATAGTCTCAAGGCTTACATATTTAAGGTAACATCATTCTGCCCTCATTCCCACTTCATTCCCTCTTTTTTTCTTTTTTCTGCATGTAACGTTTGTATTTACCAGTTGCTTTTATATATAAAAAAGCTGCATGTATTATTTGTCCTCAAGGTTTAACTTGTATGTGCTTGAAGACTCAGTTGGATGAAACTATTATAAGGCTCCTTACAGATTCTCTGGGTACCTCAAATCAGTCTGGCTTCCACTGTTTAAGTCGCTCTGTATAAGAGCTTCTTCCACATGAGTGATGGAGATGGATAATTTGACACTGACTTGTGGCCGTGGTAAATGATCTACATCAGGGTTAGCAGACTTCAGTCTTAAATGCCCATAGAACTACAGAGTTTAGCATTCTACCTCATTAAAACACCTTAAGGCCAAATCCCATTTCATATTTTTACCTCTACCCCTTGTTTTTGTGTGTCACCTTGCCCCCTGGAATCAAGTTACAAGGGGTAGTGGATGAAATCTTCCCCTACGAAATGGGACAACCCTCAAATAAAAAGGAACATTACTTCATTAACAGGCTACTGGCGCTGCTCTGTAGGTGACCTTGCCAGTCTGCAGTGATAGTAGAGGAGGGTAAAGTTCAGCAACCTCGTTGCTGGGCTTTAGTTAAGTTTAGGGCATCCTATGCTTTCAAAGAGGGAGTATGCAACAATTATTTACTACTGCCCACCCCTGATTCTTTGGTGATATGAAGCTGAATTCAGCTATTCACCAGCTTCTTTTTCAATTTTCCTGTTCCACCTTAAATGGAGTAGCAGTTACATTCTGGCACTTCAAGCGTCTGTACTGCTGGACTGTTTAAGGTGGAACAGGAAATTTAGCCAGCAAGCTACCAAGACATTAGCATGCTATTATTTTTTTATGTTTGCTTTTTGTATGTTTTAAGTTTTTTGGTCACTTGCGCAACCATCTTGCTGGTTTTTCTTTTTTTCTCATAACACTCTGTTTGGAATGTGCCTCTGAAAAACTCGTTTGGACGGCCATGTATCCCTAGCACTTCACCCTACACCTCTACCTCAACAAAAATCGGGACACCCTCCCCCTAGGTGTGAGCGTGCAAAACAGAGGGCTAAGGGCTACGTGGTAGGGGCAAGGGGTGAAAAAGGATTGGGCCTCAGAGTCATTCAGACCTTTGTAAAAATTACATTTGGTGTAACAGAAATGAGAATACATGAAACCCATGCAGAAATTTGTCACACATTGGTGGTTCACACAGCATCCTAGACGACACAGTACAGATATCAGTGCAATGGTGATGTGTCTTGATGTATCATTACCAAAATAACCACATGTATGAGCACTCACAAACAAAAAGATAAACCTTCCAGACCCCCCCCCCCTTTGGGTGGTCAGAAGATTTTAATTCACATCTGAGTCTGAGCTGTCTGTGGACAGGATTAATCATTTAAGGATCAATACAGAAAACAGGAATTGATGGAAATGTGATGGAGACAGTGTACAGAAAGCAGAAGACATACAGTTCCAAAACACTGACACCCTAAAGTGCCATCCTGAGGACAGAGATGTGGCATTAAATGCTCATGTACTGATTCCTCACCATTTCTCAGATCTACTGCCACCATGTGGAACAAAGAGAAACAACAACAGGCAGATGTTCTTTCTTTCTTTCTTACTTTCTTTCTTTCTTTCTTTCTTTCTTTCTTTCTTTCTTTCTTTCTTTCTTTCTTTCTGGCACTACTGGCATACAATAGCATATTGTTGAATAATATTGCCTTTGCAAAGAGGCTATTTCTGTATTACACTTGTGACACTTGTTGTGCTTTCATGGTGTCTTCTGTCATTAGTTTCCAATAAGCACGCACACACACACACACACACACACACACACACACACAATTCTACCTACTAACTTTTTAAGAATTTATTAGCAATGAATCTTGAAATCTATCACATCTTCACATCTCTTTTCTTTAAGCCTTTGGAGGTTTTTGACAATATGTGTGTTGTATTAAAAAGTCATGTGAATGGCTTGTTAAAACTGGTCCAAAACTACTTAAAAAAAACATCCAGGCAAATCAAGAAAGTTTTTTCCTTCTCCTGTAAAGCTACCACTTTGGGGATACAAGGTTTTCTTCTGACAGCAATAATATACACTCTTATCCAAGATTCAAACCCCCCGTAAAATTACGTTTTGTTGATTGAAGTGAAACAATCTATAGAGAATACTTCAATATTTTTTACTGCAAATTTTAGGGCATAATTTATGTTTATTTGCTGAATATAAAAATACAAAATAACTTTTTATATTTTATTTTATATTGTTTCTCAGTATTTTAAAGTTAATATTAATTGTTCACAAAAGTGTACTGTGTTCCAAATACCTCACTGGAACAGTTTGGAACAGAAAGATTTGACAGGTGAAAAAGTTTGGTGATTAGAGTTGGTGGTCCCAGAGCAGATAATGACAGTCAGCCTGAGGCCTCTCAGGGAGCTCATTACACCAACATCTTCCCCTCTGTTAACATTTCTATATCTGCTCACTATGACAAGCTCCAGAGTTACCTGAACACTCAAGGGCAAAAGAGCACAAAAATTAAGACTCCTAATTACACCCAAGATAGAGCCCCTGTTGTATCATCCCCCTCTGGAAGCCCCACCATTTCAAATCATATCAGTGTCAGAGCCCCACTGAGCTCACCTTACTCCACTGAGAGTAATAAAGCATTTCTCTGAAGTCATGTCAGGAAAAATATGCATGCTTTACACTTTAAGCCAATCAGAAATGGACTCTGTTCTCTCTGAACTTAAAAACATATTTAGGAACAGAACCTGCTGGACAAATACATCTGTTTACACCCCTCTCTGTGACCAAAGAGGTAAGGTCAGATGTCAGTTTAGATATTTTCATAGATGTAGATGTAGATCATGAAAAATGAAAATACCTTCTGGTTTCTGAACATTGCTAAACTCTCAAAACATACTGCTCACTTCCCAGCCCATAAGTTCAATATGTATGGAAACTATGCTGCAAGATCAACCTGTTTTGATTTACTGTTTGTTTGATGTCACTAGAACTAGTGCATCTACATACAGTACTATACAAAAGTTTAAGGGCGCTGAGAAGATTATATTTAAAAATTTAATTTGCTGGTCAGTGAGGGTTTATTTGCTCACTAATGCAATAATATTAGAATAAATACAAATAACATTAACATAAGAAGTAGTGATTTTACATACACCAGTTGTTTCGTTTTCAAACCTCTTCTCAAGGAAGCCTGGTATTAGTTGTATTTATCATCCAATATCTGGTTTAGCAGAACAGTGCTTCCTTTAAATCAGGTGTGCTGCTGATGGAGCTTAACAAATCCATGTGATGCTCGCCAGCATCCAGGAGAACTCTGCAATTTTGTTTTTCAAACTAGCTCATAAGATATCAGGTGAACATTATTTTACCACATTTATGTTTATTTTCGCAAGCAAAAAACACACTTACAGCTAAAATTTTAAAAAACATGTGTAGGTGCCTAGTCTCAAAGTACTACATATCTGCATTTTCAACCTACAGCAGATTAGTTCTGCCCATTCATGCTGAAGTTATAAGAAGTGTTTCTACTCTGACTGCTGTTTGAAAAAGGCACAACACGAGGCAGCCAATCAGAACTCATTTGTTAATCTTAATAAAAAAAAAGGCTGTTTAATTCTAAGGGATAAGGAAAGGTTGGAAAATGGTCAAATAAAAATGAATTATGACTTTATTTGGTGCATTAACCCACACAAATTATAAGCGGACCTCAAGGGGAAAAAAAAACAAATTAAAAGAAGAATGTAGGGCTTTCAAGAGTGTAAAGAAAAAACATAAGAATGTAAGACATGAGAAAGATTTAATTAAAAAAAAAAACAGCACAATAGTGAAATGAAGCACAGCACATTCTGGGTCATGGTTACATGATGATGAAATTAGAGATATTTTTATACTTTTGAGTTGTACTTTTTTCCTTT